TGCATGTGAGATGGGTCTCCTGAATACAGTACACCAATGGGTCTTCACTCTTTATCCAGTTTGCCATTGTGTGCCTTTTAATTGGGGCATTTAGCCCATTTACATTTAAGGTTAATATTGTTATGTGTGAATTTGATCCTGTCATCATGATGCAAGCTGGTTATTTTGCAGACTTGTTTATGTAGCTGCTTCATTGTGTCATTGGACTTTGTACTTCAGTGTGTTTTGCAGTGCCTGGTACCAGTTTTTCCTTTCCATATTTAATGCTTCCTTCAGGGGCTCTTGCAAGGCTGGACTGGTGGTGACGAATTCCCTCAGCATTTGCTTGTCTGAAAAGGATTTTATTTCTCCTTTGCTTATGAAGCTTAATTTGGCCAGATATGAAATTCTGGGCTGAAAATTCTTTTCTTTAAGAGTGTTGAATATTGGTCCCCAATCTCTTCTGGCTTGTAGGGTTTCTGCAGAGAAATCTGCTGTTAGTCTGATGGGCTTCCCTTTGTTGGTGATCTTGCCTTTCTCTCTTGCTCCCTTTAACACTTTTCCCTTCATTTTAACCTTGGAGAATTTGATGATTATGTGTCTTGGGGTTTGTCTTCTTGTAGAGTATCTTACTGGGGTTCTCTGTATTTCCTGAATTTGAATGTTGGCCCGTCTTGTTAGGTTGGGAAAGTTCTTCCAGATGATATCCTGAAGTATGTTTTCCATCTTGGTTTTGTTCTCCCTGCCTCTTTCAGGTACCAATCCATCATAGGTCCCATATTTTTACATAGTCCTATAATTCTCAGAGGTTTTGTTTGTTCCTTTTCCTTCTTTTTTCTTTAATCTTTTCTTCCTGTCTTATTTCAGCAACATAGTCTTCAAGCTCTGAAATTCTTTTTTCTGTTTAGTCTATTTGGTTATTGATACTTGTGGTTGCATTGTGAAGTTCTTGTGTTGTGTTTTTCAGCTTTGTCAGGTAATTTATGTTCCTCTCTAAACTGGTTATTCTCATTAACATCTCCTGTAATATTGTATCATGGCTCTTAGCTTCTTTGCCTTGGGTTAGAACATGCTCCTTTAGCTCAGCAAAATTTGTTATTAACTCCCTTATGAGGCCTACTTCTGTCAATTTGTACATCTCAGCCTTTGCTCAGTTCTGTGCCCTTGTTGGAGAGGTGAAATCTTGTGAAGAGGAGGCACTCTGGCTTTCTGAGTTTTCATCATTTTTGTTGTTGTTGTTGTTGATTCTTTCTCATCTTCATAAGTTGTTTAGTTTCAATCTTTGGGGCTGCTGACCTTTGGATGGGGTTTTTGTGGAGACTTTTTCATTGATGCTGTTGTTGTTGTTGCTTTCTGTTTGTTTTTATTTTAACAGTCAGGTCCCTCTTCTGTAGGGCTGTTGCCATTTGCTGGGGGTTCACTCCAAACCCTATTTTCCTCTGTCCCTCCCACACCTGGAGGTGTCACCTGAGGAGGCTGCAGAACAGCATAGATGGCTTCCTCCTCCTTCCCCTGGGATCTCTGTCCCCAAGAGGCACTGACCTGATGCCAGCAGGAATGCTCCTGTATAAGGTGTCTGGCAACCCCTGTTGGGGGTGTCACAGCCAGTTAGGGGGCATGGGTTCCGGGACCTACTTAACGAAGCACTCTGGCTGCTCCTTGGCAGAGGGGCTGTATTGAACTGTGGGGAATCCCACTCATCTGGGCTGCCTGCATTTCTCAGAGCCAGCAGAAGGAAAGACTAAGTCTGTTGCTCCACAGAGACCATGGCTCCCCCTCTTTCCAGGGGCTCAGTCCCCGGGAGATCAGAGTTCTGACCCTAAACCCCTGACTGGAGTTGCTGAAATTCCTGCAGGGAGGTCCAGCCCAGAGAGAAGGGAATGGGTCAGAGTCCAGCCTAAAAAGGCAGCCTGGCCATGATCTGTCACAGCCATCATGCTGTGCTGTGGGGAATTCCTCCTGGGTGCAAACCGTTCTGTCTCCCAAGCCCCAGCAGGGGAAAAATGGCAGGCTGGAGCTGCAGTGAAGGCTGCTGCCCATCCTTCCTGAAATTCAGTCATCTTAGGCACCAGGCAGTCACAGTGATAATGGCTTCCCTTCCCTCAAGAAACTCAGTAATCTTAGGCACTCTCCAGCTGAGTGACTGCTGAGAATCTGCACAACTCTGTGCTTGGGACTCAAGGCCCTGGTGGCGTGGGCTCATGAGTGGGATTCCCTGATCTGTGGGTTGCACAGATCCTTGGAAAAAGTGTGACTTCTCACTGCCTCCTTTGACTGGGGGTTGGAGCTCTCCTTGCCCCATGTGGGTCTTAGGTAGGCTGTTGCACCACTCTGGTTTTCCTCCCTCTCCACCTAGTCCCAATGAAAGAACCTGGATACCTCAGTTGCTGGTACAGGATTCACTCACTGTTTTGATTCTTCTCAGTGGGAGCCTCCAACTGCAGCTGTTTTTAGTTAGTCATCTTGGCTCCTTCCAATTTTTTCTATTTCTGTGAGGAATGACATTGGTAATTTGACAGAGATTGCATTGAATCTGTAAATTGCCTTGGATATTATGATCATTTTAAATAATATTATATATTCCAATCCATGACCATGAGATATATGTCTTTCCATTTTTGTGTGTGTCCTCTTCAGTTTCATCAGTGTTTCACAGCTTTCATTGTAGAGATCTTTCACCTCCTTGATTCAATTTATTCCTAGGTATTTTATCTTTCAGTAGGTGTTGTAGATGGGATTGCTTTATTGATTTCTCTATCAGCTAGTTCATTATTAATGTATAGAAATACTACTGATTTTTTTTGTTGATTTTGCTAGTTTATTGTTTCTTAGAGTTTTTTTGGTGAATCCTTTAGTTTTTCTATTATATAAGATCATGTTATTTGCAAATGGAGATAATTTGGCTTCCTCCTTTCAAATTTGAATGCCCTTTCTTTCTTTCTCATGGCTGATTGCTCTGGCTAGGACTTCTAGCACTATGTTGAATAAGAGTGGTGAAAGTCGGCATTCTTACCTTGTTCCAGTTCTTAGAGGAAAAGCTTTCAACTTTCCCCCTTCAATAGAAGTGAACTGTGGGTTTGTCATAAAATCTTTTATCATGTTGAGGTATGTTCCTTGTATGCCTAATTTGTTGACAGTTATTTTTTTAACCATGATGGGATACTGAACTTTATCAAATGCTTTTTGCATCTATTGAGATGATCATATAGTTTTTGTCTATTTTGTTGATGTGATTTATAGTGTTTATTGATTTGTGTATGTTGAACCATCATTCCATCCCTGGGATAAATCTCACTTGGTTTTGGAGTATATTTTTGATATGCTGTTGGATTTGGTTTGCTGGTATTTTGTTGAGGGTTTTGTATCTACGTTCATCAGGATATTGGCCTATAGTTTGCTTTTTTTGTTGTGTTCTTATTTGGTTTTGGTTTTAGATATCTGGTGTTATAGAATGAATTTGGAATTTTTTTCTTTCAATCAAATTTTTGGAATAGTTTTAGATAAATTGGTGTTTGTTATTCTTTAAAAATTGGGTAGAATTCAGCAGTGAAGGCGTCTGGTTCTGGGCTTTTCTTTTTGTTGGGAGGCTTTTAAATTACTGAATCTATCTTGTTTTTCACTGTTCGTCTGTGTTTTTTTTTTTTTTTTTTTTGGTTCAATCCTGGTTGAACCAAGGTTGTATGTTTCCAAGAGTTTATTCATTTTCTCTAGGTTTTTCAATTTGTTGATATGCAGTTGTTCATGATAGTTTCTAATTATCCTTTGTATTGCAGCAATGTCAGTTGTAATGTTTCTTTTTTCCATTCTGATTTTATTTATTTGGGTTTTCTTCTCTTTTTCTTAGTGTAGCTAAAGTTTTGTCAATTTTCAAGAAAACAACTTTTTATTTTGTTGAACCTTTGTACTTTTTCATCTCTATTTTGTTTGGTTTTGCACTAATCTTTATTATTTCTTTTCTTTTGCTAATTTTGGGTTTAGTTTGTTCTTGCCTTTCCACTTTCTTGAGTTGCATTGTTACATTGTTTACTTGAAATCTTTATATTTTTTTGATGTAGGTATTTATCGTTATAAAATTCCCTCTTAGCACTGCTTTTACTATAAACCATAAGTGTGGTATGTTGTGTTTTCATTTACATTTGTTTCAAGAAATGTTTGACTTTCTTCCGAATTTCTTTATTGGACCATTGGTTGTTCAGGAACAAGTTGTATAATTTATATGTATTTATACAGTTTTCAAAGTTCTTCTTTTTATTGATTTCTAGTTTTATTTTGTTATGGTCTGAAGATACTTGATATGAGTTCAATTTAAAAAAATTCTTTGAGACTTGTTTTGTGGCTTAACATATGGTCTATCCTGGAGAATGTTTTATGTGCTGCCAAGAAGAATATGTATTCTGCATCTGTTGGACAAAATGTTCTACAGTCTGTTAGGTCCATTTGGTCTGTAGTGCGTTTAAATCTAGTGTTTATTTGTGGATTTTCTTTCTAGATAATCTATTTAATACTCACAGTGAGGTGTTCAAGTCAAGTCCCCATCTATTATTGTATTGGGGTCTATCTCTCCTTTTACATCTAATAATATGTGCTTGATACATCTGGGTGCTGAAGTGTTGAATGTATATATATTTAGAATTGTTATATCCTCATGGTGAATTAATTCCCTTATCATTATATAATAACCTTGTCTCTTTTTACAGTTTTGACTTGAAGTGTATTTTACCTTATGTAAGTAGAGCTACTTTTACTCATTTTTGGTTTCTGTTTGTATGGAATATCTTTTTCCACCCTTCAGTTTCAGTCTATGTGTACCTTTATAGAAGGGTTTAGTTTTTTTTTTTTTTTTTGAGACAGGGTCTCACTCTGTTGCCCAGGCTGGAGAGAAGTAGCATTATCTCAGCTCATTGTAACCTTCACACCCCTGGTCCAAGCAATTCTCTAGCCGCAGCCTCCTGAGTAGCTGGGACCACAGGCGTGCGCCACCACACTTGGCTAATTTTTGTTTTTTTGTAGAGATAGGCTTCACCATGTTGCCTAGACTGGTCTCAAACTTGGGTCTTGTTTTATTATTCATTTAGCTAGTCTATAGCTTTTAATTATGGAATTTAATCCATTTACATTCAAGATCATTATTGATAGGTGAAGACTTATCCTTTTGTTAATTATTTTCTGGCTGTTTTGATGTTGTTTGTTTTTTTTTCCTCTCTCATTTTTTTATCATTGTGGTTTGGTGTTTTTCAAAATTGTAGTTAGTGTGTTTTTATTTCTGGATATAGAACTCCTTTAAGGATTTCTCATAAGGCCCATCAAGTTATCACACATTCCCTCAGTTCTTGCTTGTCTGGAAAGGGCTATTTCTCCTTCATTTTTGAAGAATAGCTTTGCTGAATACAGTACTCTTAGCTGGCAGTTTTGTTCTTTCAGTACTTTGAGCAGATCATCCCATTCTCTTCTGGCCTTTAAGATTTCTGCTGAAACCTTATATGTGTATTCTTTTATATGTGACTTGGGGAAATCTATTTGTTTTTTTTTTTCTGTTTGGGATTTTCTTATATGTGACATGATGCTTTTCTTTTGCTATATTAAGAATTCTCTCTGTGCTTTTAACTTGTGGCAGTTTTACTATAATGTCCCTTGGAGAGGACCTATTTGGCTTGAATCTGTTTGGGAACTTTTGAGCTTCCTGGATCTGGATGTCCATATTTTTCCCAAGACTTGGTAAGTTTTCAGCTTTTATTTCATTAAATAGGTTTTCTATTTCTTTCCCCATCTCTGATCATAATACAAAAAATTTGTCCTCTTAATGGTGTCCCATAGGTCCTGTAGGCTTATTTCACCTTTTATTATTTTTTTTTCTTTGATCTGACTTATTTCAAAAGACCTGTCTATAAGTTTGGAAATTCTTTCTTCTGCTTGACCTTGTTCAAGGTCTTGGTTATATTCTTAATTTGTTTTTCATTTAAATCTTCTGCTTCAAGATTTCTGTTTCTTTCTTTTTAGATAATATCTATCTCTTTGTTGAATTTCTCATTCACATCATGTATTATTTTTACTGATTTATTAATATTATTTATCATCATTATCTTGTATTCCAGTAAGTTTCCTTAAGATCACTATTTCAAATTCCTTTTCAAGCCTTTTATATATTTTATTTTCTTTGAAGTGTGTACAGGAATATTATTGTGTTCCTTTGGGGATGTCATATTTTCTTGCTTTTTCATGCTTTTGTGTTCCTACATTGATATCTGTGAATCTGGTAGAATACTCACCTCTTTCAATTTTATGGAGTGGCTTTCTTAGAAAAAGATTTTTTCTATAGTTGTGACCTGTAGTGTTGGTTGGGTAGGGTGCTTTGGTATTGGTTCTGGGTGCGTGCAGTAGTAAAGTCTCTATGTGATTTCTTTGGCTGTAATTAATGTCAGTGATTTCTCCAGATGCCTCAGTGGCCTAAATTGCAGGGTTTATGGAGGCATTGGAGCAGCTTTGCTGAGGATAGAGTTTCTGATGGTGGTTTGCCTTGGGCAGGCCAGTCCTTGGTCTCTGAGGGGCATGTGCACAGTGTGTGGTAGCTCTGCCAGTTAAGGGGTCTGGATTGCTAGCTGATACCAGCCAGACCTATCCTTGGGCCCTGGGTGATGTGTGTGTGGGATTCTACAGCTTTTTTGGTTGAGGGGCAAGGGCAACTGGCAGTGGCAGGCATCACATTGGCCTATCCTTTGGCCCTGTGGGAGGGCACATGTGTTGTGCATGGTAGGTCCACCAGTTAAGGGTGTGGGGTTGCTGACGGTAGTGGGTGCCAGATAGGCCTGTCTTTGAGCCCTGGGGCATGCATGTGTGGCACACAGTGGCCCCACTGGTTGAGGGTGTGAGGTTGCTGGTGGCTGCAGATTCTAGGTGACTGACTTTCAGGCCCTGGAGAGTGTGTGCGTTGGTTTTCCCAGTACTGGGTGTGGTCCCCCACTGCACTGACTGCCTGGTTCCATGGGGTGTAGGGAGCTGAGTAATCTTGGGTGTTGAGATCATGACTGTAATACTGGGTCTATCTGGAGCCATGATACTGCAGCCCTTTGTTTGTACATGGTGGGGCAAAAAGGGGATCCAGGGATGTGAAGATGCAGGGGCTATTGAGTTCCAGGGCAGGATGTGCTTTAGCAGTGGCTCTGTTTGCAAAGTGGTGCCAGGCTTTAGCAGCTTGGGTCCTGGGGATTTGGGGAGATCCACCATGAGTTTCCTCTCTGGAGCAATGCAGCTATATGGACTCCAAGCAGCTCGCTATATTGGGCTTAGGGTCTGTAAGGACTGTGGGACTCTTATATAGCTGGGATTGCAGGTGTCCATGGTGATAATGGGCACTGCTGAAGACTTCCCACTACCCTTTCTCCATAGTAGAAATCTCTCATGGCTCTGAGCTGATCCTAGACATGGACTTTGCTTCTTTCTCTATGCTGCCATCCTTAGTTTCTGTGCCTCAGAAGGTCTTTTTCACTTCCTTGTTGAATTCCAATGTTCTCCTTTAGATTCTCTACTCAAAGTACAGTGATGTATTTATTGTTTTGGTCCTTCTTTGTGGAGGAGGTGGGTGCTGGGCACCTCTAGTCAGCCATTTTGATTTGTAGCCCCAAATGGATTTAACAGAGTAAGATTTAAACAGAGAATTATCACATACACAAAATAAAATGGCCATTGTAGAGCAGAAAAATAAAAATGCAGTATCTGAAATTTAGAAGTCATTGGATAAGTTTAACACCAGATTCTATACAGTTAAAGATAGAATCAATGACATCAAGCACCCTAAAAAATATTTAAATAAATCATTCAAACTGAAGCATAGAGAGAAAATGGAATAGAAAGAACAGAACAGGGGCAAAGAGCTATATGAGACCCAGTCAAGTTGATTAACATGTACGTAGTGGAGTTCCTGAAGAAGGAAATAGAGAATGGATAGAAGCAATATTTGAAAAAAGATAATGACCGAGAATTTCCCAAAACTGATGAAAAATGTTTACAGATCCGTGATGCTCTGTCAACCCCACATAGAAAAGGCATAAAGAAAACCACCAATGCACATCAGCCTCAGTAAAGCCACTTAAAATCACGATAAAGAAAAAAATCTTAAAAGAAACCAGAGAAAAAGGTTATATTGTCTTCAAAAGAACAACAGTATCACCGATGGCTGACTTTCAACAGAAACCCTGAAAGCCAGAAAACAGTGCAATGACATCTTTAAAGTGCTAACGGGGGAAAAAAAACCCCTTTCACCTTAGAATTCTATGCTCAGTAAAAATATTCTTCAGAAATAGTAGTGAAAAAAATAAAAAGAATGTGATGCAAAGATTTTTCAAAAAATGAAAAAAAATTAACTCAGATTTTATAATTTGTATCTGTATTAAAAGAAATACAAGAAAGAATATAAACCATCTTACAAGCACAAAATTAAAGGAAGGAATGAACCTCGCCAGAAAGAGTAAATAAAAGGAATACTGACCATTTAAAGTAAAAATAATAAAAATGTCTCTTAGGTTTTATAACATGTAGAAGTAAAATATATGACAACAGCAGCATAAAGGGCAGGAGGAAGGAAAGAAGTTAAACTATTCTAAGATTGATGCAATAAGGAAATAGGAAAAGTATGCATTTAAAATTATTAGAAATAATTCAATAATGCATATTGCAATCTCTAGGACAACTACCAAAAAATACATAAAGCTAGTAGAGGAGCTAAAAATGGAATATTAAAAAATACTCAGTTAATCCAGAGGAAGATAGAAAAGACAGGATCAAAGGACAAAAAGCAGATGAGATAAATAGAAAAAAAACAAAAGAAAGCTTAAACCCAGTATATCAGCAATTATATTAAATACAAATAAACTAAACACTCTTAAGAGGCAAGTGTTAGATTGGCCCAACTATGTCCTGTTTATAGGAGCAATTTGCTAAATAAAAGGTCACAAATAGATTGAAAGTAGAATTATGGAAGAGATATGGCACGTAAATACTCACCAAAAGCTCGTCAGTGAGTCTAAAATATCAAAGTAGACTTTAAGGCAAAAAATATTAATGAAAATACAGAGGAACATTTATTAATGTTGAAAGATTTAATTCAATAAGAAGGCAAAACCAATGATACTGAAGATAACTTTAAAATACATAAAGCAAAGATTGACAAGATTAAATAGACGAATAGATTTTAATACTCTCTCCCAGTAACTGATAAACACACTCACAAAAAGCTACAAAGAATACTGAAGATTTGAGCAAAACCATTAAACAGCTTGACCTAATTGACGTTTATAGAACACTATACACAACTGCAGAATGCTCATTCTTTTCAGGCAACCATGGAGTGTTTGTAAAAGTAGACTATACTGGGACATAAAACAAATCTCAACAAATTTCAAAGAATTGAAATACTATACAATGTTCTTTCACTGAAGTGGAATTCAACTAGAATTCAGTATTAGAAAAAGAACTAGAAATCCTCAAAAGTTTATACATTAAGCAGTACACTTCTAAATAAATTTTGGGTCAAAGAAGAAATCACAACAAATACTAGAAAACATGTTGAGCTGAATTATAGTAACAAAATAAGAACAGAAATGATTGAAAAAGAAAATATTTACTTAATGGGCATGTAGTTTCAGTTTGCTCATTTGTAAAAGAGGGATAATAACTGAGCCTGCTTCCTTGCATTCTAGTGAGGATTAGATGAGCTAATACGTAAAAATATTTAAAATGGTGCCGATCATATAGTAACCACTCAAAAGCTATTAGCTGCTGTTGCTGCTGCTACTACTAACACCACCATCATCACCACCACTACGACTATTAATACTGTTATTACAGGATGAACTATATGCACATATTCTTACTTTAACAAATATGGTAATCACCTGGGCTATGAGGAGTCTGGATATTCTAAAGCAACTGGTACCTAGTTTGCCAGGTTACATATGGGCATTCCTATGCTAGAAGGGATGATATATAGTGGAGCTCTCTTTTTGGTATAAATCACATCCTGCCATTACCCTGTTTAAAGTTTTCCTAGTGTATTTAATGTATAGTCCAAACTTTCTCTCATGGTCAACAGGGATGCATTGTCTAACCCCTGCTCAGTTCTTTAACTTCACCTCTTTCCCTTTTCTCACTTTGCTATAAGCATTTATTCTTACAGAGTCTTTGCACTGTCTGTTTCATTTAGCTGGAATGCTGTTTCTTCAGCTCCTTGCATGGCATGTTTCTTTTTTTTCAGAAGTCAGCTCAAATGTCACCTTTCCAGAGAAGACTTACCTGACCATCCTGTCTGTGATTGGATTCCCTCTGCCCTATGTTGTTCTCTATCCAAGCATTGGTTCATTTCCTTCAAAGACTGTATCAAAATCTGTAATTATTCATGTGTTAGTAAACACATGTACTTTGTCTCATTGATTATGTTGTTATATTTATGAGTTTAGGATACTTGCCTCTCATGTTTAGAATGCATTAAAAGTGTCTGTTGTAGTGGCTGGTTCATAGGAGGTACTGAAAATATTTGTTGAATAAATGACTGAATTTGATCGGTAGGGTTAAGGTCTTGGGTGGGAGTTTACACTAAGTGACCTCTGATGTCTTATTTCTACTCTAAAACCTGAATCTATACTATAACTACTCTAAGTAGTTTGTCCTAGGGAGAAAAATGGTAAATCCCAGTAAGAATTAGGCACATTCTTCCACATGGATCT